AAAAAAAAAAAAAAAAAAAAAAAAATCCTAGTAAATAAATATTTTGGCACAGCAGCTCTTTGGTCCCCAGCTCTGCTCTAAGCGGGCTTGATGTGATGTTCGTTTTCTTGAGGCCAGTGTTTTAAAACATTTCTTTCTTTCCCTTCACCATAGGTCAGTAGAAGATGAGGAGAGACCTTTCGCGCTGGGGATGCAGTTTGTTCTATTGCGAACACTTGGTATGTTCCTGAATTTCCGCACGTGCTTCTTAGTTCCTCTTTACAGATGGCAAATCCTCACTGTCGTTTAAAAATCACAAGTCAATCATTTGTTACCATTAGTGGTAGCTAGGATTTTGCAGGGCACAATGTCTTTAACTCTCTGATTTGAACTAGAAGCTACTCAGTTCTGTCATTTGATGAAACAGAACAAAACTGACTTTAGAACAGTTTCTTTTTCACAATGAGCATAATAAACTCGAACTAAATTCCCCAGAAAATTTTGAACAGTAAGAAATATTGAACCAAGCAGTTGCGATGGACTCATGGTCTTGGCGTTCTTGTCCCTTTATGCCTTTTTAACAGGAAAGTGATGGCACTCATATTATTTGTGAACATTTTAATTCCTTACTTTTTTACAATAATTTTATTGGACTGGGCAAAAAGTATACCTGTCAAGTTTTCTGAGGAAAAGAAATGAAAAATTCTGAAAAGAACAAAGATTCCCAAATTGAAGAGAAGCTTGTTAGCACTGTCCATATGTCACAGAGTCCACTGGCGCACGAAGAATATCGTCCTGATTTTGACAAACACCATATCACTCTGTGGTGTTTTGGGACGATGCATGGGAAATACTATGTGAAATAGCCCACTCCCTGGATCAAAAGGAATGTATTTTTAATTGACTTCCTCATTATCAAGCATATTTTTTTCTTTTGTAAGTGGCAGTCTGTCATTTTCTTCAGCTGTTACTTCCCCCAGTAATCAGTATCATTGTTCACAGGACCAAAAGAAAAAAAGAAAAAAAAGTTTTTTTTTAAATTTAAATGTTTAATTTCCATCTTGAAGGATAAAATGGTATCCCCTGACCCTTTGAGACATTAATCTTCTCCGGAACTCTCGATTTGTCATTATGTTGTGGTTGATAGCCACGTCTGAGGGTAAGGACTTTCCAGTGACCCTCAAAGGCCTCTAGTTGCATTGAACGGGTAGCTTGCATTATGGTACCAATAAAACTTTGAAGGTCCCGTTTTTCAAAACCAACTGGTTAAAGGAAATTCTGACATCCTTTGATGTAGTTAAGAAGTTTGCCTTATACTTCTCCTGGGCAACTATAAAGTTGTTTTCAAAGAAGGAAATTTGTTGAGCAAAGAGTCAGTTAAATAGGAAAAGAAAAAAAAAAGTTCCTCCTTTTTGCTCCGCCAGAGGGATGTCACAGCGTCAGTAGCAAGTGGAAGGCATTTGGAACTGAATTTATAATTTATTTATTTATTTATTTATTTATTTATTTATTTATTTTTTAATTTTTTTTTTTTTAAACGTTTATTTATTTTTTGGGACAGAGAGAGACAGAGCATGAATGGGGGAGGGGCAGAGAGAGAGGGAGACACAGAATCGGAAACAGGCTCCAGGCTCTGAGCCATCAGCCCAGAGCCTGACGCGGGGCTCAAACTCACGGACCGTGAGATCGTGACCTGGCTGAAGTCGGACGCTTAACCGACTGCGCCACCCAGGCGCCCCCTGAATTTATAATTTAACCATCACTTAAGTTCTGCTGATTATGAAAAACTATAGTTGGGCCAACAACCAATTTCCATTTCCCCCAATTTCAAAGCAAAAAGAGAGTTTTAGGTATTTTAATAATGTTACATTTTAATTGTAGCGATCAGACCTCATTTTAAATGAATACAACATATTTAAAGATACATCACGTGCAGCCTCCTGGGCTGTTAGCTCACCATCTTCCCTTCCTTCTTCTCTCTTTTCTTCTTCCCTTTCTCCCTTGTTCCTTCCTATCACTTCCTTTTATAAACTCATATTGAGGATCCACGGGCTGCCCTGATAAGTCCTTGGGATACAAGGAATAAAAGGCATGCCCTCTGCCATTGAGGAGCTTATGGATGACAATTCTGCAAACAGTTTAAATGCTGCATCAAAGTTGGTAAAATGGAGACGTATACAAAATTCAGTGTGAATATGGTGGCTCTGAATAAGGAATTTAAAGGAGGGTAGATAATTACAAGGTGAACATTTGGAGACTGTGTGGTGAAGGAAGTGTCCCTGGGTAGACTTTCTCTCTCATGGTGGTAAAGAAATGTCTATCTCCTGGCCCAAACAATGAAGCTGTACTCATGATAGATGTTTCACAAGCTTCAGAGATAAATTTTATGCCTTAATTATTTCTATACCCCAAGTGCCTTTATACAGTTTGCCATTTGATGTGGTTTTTGACTTCTGGGGACACTGTTTTCCCCTTACTCTCCCTGCACCTGAGGATGAGAGCCCAACCCATAAAAACTAAGTGTACTGAATTTTAGTGGATAATAAAGGGCTTTAGTATGGCCTCTTGAGTATTTAATGACAGAATCTGAAGGATGCCTGGATGGCTCAGTCGGTTAGGCGTCCGACGTCGGCTCAGGTCATGATCTCATGGTTCGTGGGTTCGAGCCCCGTGTCGGGCTCTGTTCTGACAGCTCAGAGCCCGGAGCCCGCCTCAGATTCTGTGTCTCCTTCTCTCTCTGCTCTTTCCCCGCCCATCTGTCTCTTTCTGTCTCAAAAATAAATAGAACATTAAATTTATTTAATGACAATCTGATTGTTAAGTTTAAGAGGATTCTGTAACCGAACTTTTAGCAATAGACATTTTTACGGTCTTAAAAATCAGTAACGCTCTGACTGAGTTGCAAACTGGAAGATTTAAAGTATTTGTGACTTAGTGAACATTTCTGTAATAAACATATTATGGTAAGATGTGACGTATTTGAAACAGTCAAGAGACACAAGAAAACCGCCCCGCTCCACTGGTTTTAGAGCAGAGAAGCACGTTGCTAATTTACAAGTCGGTGGTCTCTTGCAAGACAGGCTAAATGTTCTTTTTCTTTTTCCCTACAACTCTAGCATACATTCCTACTCCAATTTACTTTGGAGCAGTCATTGACACCACCTGCATGCTCTGGCAACAGGAATGTGGGGTACAAGGCTCTTGCTGGGAGTACAACGTGACCTCATTCCGTTTCGTCTATTTCGGTTTGGCCGCCGGCCTCAAATTTGTTGGCTTTATTTTCATTTTTCTGGCCTGGTACTCCATTAAATACAAGGAGGACGAGCTGCAGAGGCAGAGGTGGAGAGAGTTCCCTCTGAGCACCGTGAGCGAGATGGTGGGCCACTCGGACCATGCCCACAAGGAGGCCCGGACTAGATCCTGCCCAGCTCTCGGCAGCCAGGGGGGCTTCTGCGAAGAGACTGGCCTGCGGAAAGGCGTCCACTGCACAGCACAGACCTACCCGGGGCCCTTCCCCGAAGCAATAAGCCCGGCCCCGGCCCCGGGGCTCGAAGAAAGCCCAACTGCCACGGAGCCTCCCTCCTGAAGCTTGAAAACGGAAGACTTTAGTTTTGTTGGTTGAGTCGAATATGGCAACTTGAGAAACACCCGTGCCTTCTTTTCTTTCTTTCTTTTTTTAACCTCTAAAGACACGATCCTCAGACCAACGAAACTCAGTATACACAGCCACTGTTGATTGAGGGCTGGATACCTCAACAAGACTGACAGCCTTCTCCCCCCACTTCTCTCCAAGAAGGAGGAGTTTAGATAGAGTTGTTACCATTTCTGCTATGTTAATTTAATGCTCATGTTCCGGTGTGGTATAAGGCTGAGAGGTGCCTGGTTATAACAAAATCACGGAAGTGTAATGGCGGAGCATATCATTAGCATACACTCCAAACCGAGGTGAGCTTGACCATGACTTTGCATTTACAAATCAAGGTTTTTAGATAGGAACACCTACTGTGAGTCCCGCTACAAAGCACAAATGAATTTGCCTCAACTATGCAATTTTGATGGGGAAAATGTAAGTGCAGCATGTTACTTTTGCTTTCAGAGACTAAAAGCAGGTACGTTTTTGAGAAGAGGACAAGAAACTTTCCCTAAAGTACTGTTAATAGCATTTTAAGCCATAGCAGAGTTATAAATCAGGTAGAATTTTTCAAATGCTTCAAAGGAATCATACGCATAGTGTGATGAAAGGAACTGCTACTTTCTTCCATAAGACACGTTCTCTGCCCCATTATAAGGTAAAGAGTCTGCTGGATCATAAATCTGAGAGCTTGAACAGAAACTCCAGTATTCTTTTTGCCAGGGGCTTTAAAACTAGTGTGCTAAACAATGTGGCTAGAGATGAACTCGAGACGTATCGTAAGGAGAGAAACTGATGGCTTTCTCCTCCAAAGAAAAATGCTACAGAAATCCTTTCGGCTCTTATGGGCCCACACAAGGGTAGTTAAGAACTGTAACCTTGACACTCAAAATACTTGGAAAAAGAAATTCCACAAAGGTACAGTTGAGTCCCATCTGATCGTTTTAGTTATACGTCCAGAAGCCCAGCAAGTCTGCCCTGTTTTCTTTTTTATACACAGAAAATTGCTATGGTTGCCCCCTGAAACTGAGTAGTTAAATCAGGAAAGCTACACCTGTGATATGAAAATCACTTTGAATACAGGAGGAGGGCGATCGGTGACCTGGGCCCAGAGTATGATCCTAAATAATGATCGGAAGTTACTTAAAATCAGCTTGTCTGTCATCCTGAATTCTACTTTATCAGAGTTCGAATGATTTTACGCCTCCCTTTGATTCCTTCCTCCTGTTATCTTCCTGAAGCAATTCTGAGAGAGGATTTTTCTGTTCCTAAATGCACTTTGGATTCTTACCCATCATCTTTTTCAGTTCCTCTCAGCACATCACTTTGACTTAGGCACCACACAGAATGCTTTCTACATGGTTCTTAAGGTAGATGCTTCCTGCCAGCACTACGGGCTGATAGCAAGTTAACTCTTGGGATCTGGCGGCTCAGAAAAAGAATCCTGACAATCCAGATTTAGGAGGGACTGTGGTCCAAATACCAACATAATTGTGAGCAGTTTCTGCCAAGGAGCCCATGCTTATGTAGGGGCTGAGCTGGGAAATGATTTCCTTGGCTGGCTTACACTCTTTCACGGAGGGCAAGTGATTGACAGAATTGTCCCATGATTCAGGCTTTTGCCCTTCATCCTTGGCTGCACTGGTGGAGTTGTGTGAACGTTCCTGGGGCCAAGATTGTTTTCCCCTCTACCTAAGAACGGCATTGTCAGGTGGTTCTCTTGGTTGCACGCAGTTTGTGGACAGAGTTATCACTCTTAGACTGAATAATGTGTACAAGGGGGGGAGCCGGTGGTCTCGGGTGACAAGGACTTCCCTTTGAGCAGTCTCGTTGGCCGAGTCCTAAGTCCTAAGTTGCCTGGAATTGCACTGTTGTCTGTCAACCTTCGGTCAGTATAGCGTGTATCGAACGTCTTCAGAGAATGGTGCTGATTAACTTAGTGTCCGCTCTGGTGCTTCGGGGCTCCCGTTTACTCTCTGTGGGAGATCTTTGCTCCTTTAGAAGGGAAAGTTTCCTTGTGTGTTGGAGCTAAAGATACACAGGTTGGGGAGAGGCGGTGTTTTCTTAATTTTCCTCTAATTGCTAAGGAACTACATGGAGAGAATTTGGATGGGAGTAGCACTTTTTTTTTCTTTTTCCTTAAAGCCAAGATTGTATGATCCAACACTCTTAGAATCTGTTTCTTCTTGGTAGTATATTTTGAAAAGGAGCTGCTCTCAGAACTCCCAGGTGACAAGTGATAGACTCTTTGGGGACGACTCGAGAGCCCTCTCTCTCTACCTTGAACAGTCATCCAGTTCAGCAACCTCGACCAGGTGCCACTTCTCTATTGGGCACAATTTTGGCCAATTGCCATCTGCTGCTCAGTGAAATTGTTAGGTTGACTAGGCCAGAATTCAAAGAAATTGGCCCAAATTATACACCACAATGTTAATATTGTACTTCCTCAAGTATGTGATACTTATAAATAGCAGGTGTATCATTAGTGTGTTGTTGGTAAGTGTAGAGTAAGTAGTGAAAATCATGGAAGACTGAAATTTTGAAATATGTACCAATTAAGAATTGTCCCCAAAATGCTTTGGGTCCCGGTAGCATCCTTGGAATATTGCATAATCAACTAAAGTGACTATTTTATAAATGGCACCATTTCTTTGTAGATATGAGGTTCTTCTCTGCTTGCTACTTTATAGTTACGGCTTCTATTATAAGTTTAATTCCCACTTTCCATGAGCTTAGATTCTAATCGCCTGTTTTGGAAAAAGGTCACCTTGTTCTTTTATCAACTCTGTAGATTACTGTATTATTTGGCTTTAATATGCAAATATAATATCCACGAGTCTAGCCTATTAATTTAGAAACTCCCAGGGGGAGGGTGGGTGGTTGGAGCACATTTTTTTTTTTCAGTTCTCTCCATTAGTATGAAATCCTTATCCTTTGTAGGTGGATTTAATTCTTGAAAATAGTCAAAAGTCATTCAGAACGAAGGTTGGGTGGGAAGGAGAGCACAGAAGAAACAAATTAGCTTTTGTTGAGGGTTGACCATTTCAGAGAATTCTGTCAGACACCTAATATACATCATTTATTTTAATACTCTTAATAACTTTGCAAGATAACTATTTTCATTCTGTGTTGTTGTTGTTTCTTTTTAAACAGATCATGAAAACTGAGACACAGAGAGGTAAAGAGACTTGTTTAGGATTCTAGAGAATGGCCAAGTCAGGGTTCAGAAGCAGCTTTCTGTCTCCACCACCTGCTTCTTATGTTTTATGATGCCCACAATAGCGTTGGTTAACAAAGACAAGTGCGGCTCTAATTTAGCGAGGTAAAGCATTTCATTTTTTGATGTGTTACTGTTCCTGAAGAGTAAGGAAGTTATTATTTCTTTGTGTAGGATAGAAAACAAAAATCTGTAGGAAACCTCAAAATTTAATGTTTAGATTTTCAAGGTAAATTTACATTGATTTTTAGCGAAGTGTTATACTCAAAATTGTCACAACATACCTCACTTATTTATTTATGGTTCATATTTAATATAGAACAAATCCAATTTTGATGTTAGCATTGAGTCCCAGTAGAGTTTCTGAAATGAAACATGAGGAAATGTGGTTCAGAATTTTTGAATCTGAACTTTGGGGAACTTTAAGTGTATGCTCTTTCTTTCTTTCTTTCTTTCTTTCTTTCTTTCTTTCTTTCTTTCCTTCTCTTTAAGAATGTTAACATTTCCATTAATTTTTAGTGAATATGGGATTTGAGTTTCCTAATAAAAGTTTTCAATGAACGCATACGAAGTGTTACACAATGCTCCATGTTATACACCAGACAACTGACGGGATTGTTCCTGTTAGTAGCTGTCCTAACAAACGGGGAGCATGCGCTTGGAAATCAGAGAAGGAGGAAGTACATTTTCACCAACTACCAGGAAAATTCTTCCTCAGTCTGCAATTCCAGCTTGCATTCTTCGGTGGGCTTGGAGCCAGAAAGTTTCTTTTTGGAACCTGTTTGGCATCAACCTAAGCGCACCAGAGAGCAGCTGTGTGGTTTGAATGGACCCGAAGCATTTGTGGAAATTCTCGGGTGTGCCCAGGAGCAGCAGGAGAGCCTGACTCGGGGTTGGGGGGCAGGGGGGCGGGGAGAGCCAAGTATACTTTCCGTGTGTGTGGACTGAAAACATCCTAAATGGCACAGAAACATGAATAGAAGTATTGATATAGGTGCATATGGAGTATTCTAAGTAGCAGATAGATACCAAAATACTGTATAATCCCAGAATTGCCTAGATGGCAGTCGGCTAATTCTGTTACACAGACCAGTAGGTAGCCTTTACACGTCTTCGTATTTCCACTTTCCTGGCGTGGGAGGGAGTGCCGTGGCTGGCCGCGAAGGTAGCAGCCTTGTGCACTTTATCTTTTCTGTTTTCTCTCCTTTTCTCACCGTCCAGGATGCTGCTGGCTGTATCCGCCCCAGACTTCCTGCTACATTGGAATCAGATCTGTGTATGTTTGAACGGGTTATTTTAAGCACTTCATTTTTTACTCAGCCCTGCGAAGGGTCAAGTATGTTGAAAACCCTCCCTGGGTATTTGCTTTTGCAACATTAAAAAAACAACAACAACAAAAAACGCCTCGGTGCTAAAAGTATTTGATGCATGCTCACCACAAAATGTGCCGCTGAATTTACAGTATTTCACTGGTAAGGGACTGCATGTGCTTTGCTTTTGGAAATCTAGAGAGCTTCTCAGAACACAAGCATTCATTAGGCTCATTACTACAGTTAATCCGTGAACGTTACCCTGCAAAATGAAGAGTGTTAAGGGGAACACCTTTTCTACGGAAAACTCAGCGCTTTTGATATTTCTTTTAGCAAGAATAAGAGGATGCTAAAAATAATTTCAGAGAGAGGGCAAAAATATTTCCGATAATCTTTTCTTATTTCTTCTCCAAAAAAACTGACACTCA